AAATGTTATGCATGAAGTGAAGGTTAAGATAATATCTAGGTGTTAAAACTGAATTGGTTACTTTCCGAAACCACTTGTGCATAAGGCAATGACGTACCGTTAGAAAAGGTGGTTCTATGATAACCAGAGAACATAAAACGTTTTTACATTAATAGCTTGTTATGAACATTAGGGCGAATATGCGACTTGTTTGGAATAGAGTTAGCTAACCTTACCAGTCGAATTCTTTGTGTCCATCTACCCAGTTAATGCATCATATTTACTTTTACATTCTTGTATTTCTGGCAACAGTAATACCGAATTGTGTAGCCTAGAGCGCGTTTGTAAGACAGTACAGAACTAAAATATCTATTACTTCTTTTCGAGCAAATAGAAAATGTTAATAATCCAATAATACATTCGGGTATGGAAAATCTTATTAAAATGGCATAAAATTAAAAGGTTCAACTACTAACTTATCCTTAACGAAACATTTATTTTTTTCTCCCTATCAATTTACCTTCATATTTTGCCAAAAGTATTTTCTTCGTACACGACCAGCAACTGCCTGAAACTGTTTGGATTGAACTTGTAATTCATCTGAAAGAATGGTCAAATCAAAATAATAATTATTCTACCTAGAAATTGGTATATCTTACAAACAACAATATTATAATATGATACATCATTTTTAGTGACAAATTTACATGCAAGGTATCAGGTAGAGTGGCTGGTCGACGCAATTTACTTAGTATAGCCAAATAGCGAATAAAGTTTTCTAGTGAAAAAAATACATGGCACCGAAACAGTTATTTTATTCTTAATTAGAACTTTGAATGCATTACTATTTTTGTCATCCACACTGAGATATTCATTTTTTATTGCTATTAGACTATACTAGGATCTAGAAGTTTATGTGTTCTAAATTTAAGAAACTTATCGGTATGCACCTGTTTAAGTTTTTAGTCCGGTTTATCGAAGGGTTACAAACACTTTGAGGTAGATAAACAAGAAGCGTGAAAACAAAATTCATTGGTTTGACAGTAAGATGCATTAATAATAAGACCCTAAGCCTGGAAAAAGTCAGTATTGTGTTACAAAGTATACGATTATGACGCTGATACATAAACTTAATATACGCAACCCCAACCGGTTAGTTGGGTGAGAGGACAGCCAGTTAGAAAAATGCTTTATTTGTCAAACCGAGTAGAGAATATATGTACACTTAATCATAAACAAGCATATATTTCCCTTCACAAAAGAGGTCACATTTTCAACTAGCAGCGTGTTTCGCTCCTTAGAAAAGGGAGCTTAAACTTGGTCAAAAGCATTTGTTTATCATTTGGTCGATGTGTGACTAGCCCACTAAATCATCAGTCAGTGAAGTGAGTCACTACACAGAATTCTCTTCGATTTTCAGTAACTGTTCGGTGACACTAAAAAACACGACTTACAAAATATAAATGAACGAAATCACGAACCGATCAACGTGAGACCACCATTGAGAATCTATAAGCACTGGATGGCTGTTTGGTCATATTATGGGACTTATCAATATTGCATATCCACAATACCGCATACGGGACTCGAGCCCAGGACTTAACATTGGTCCGTTCATGATTTCAATGAAATTTAACAATCTTGACAACTCATACTGACGAATAAATGTGTTTAGATATCACAAATGACTAAGAATATTTTGAAAATGAGAGTTCTATATATCGGGGAATGCTTTAGGCTATTTCGTGTATAAATGAGATAATGAATGCTGATCAATACATTATCGTGTGAATGGTTCAATAATTGGACTAGGTTGTCATTTAAAAAATATCGTGAGATATTAAAATTTTGTTGCCATGTTATAACTGTTGTTGAGTAAATGTTAGTGATTCCGATTATACGTACATAAAATAAAGCGTTTATTATCGAACAGGTTACTTAACCGTGCCGTTACCAACTAAAAATACCAGCGTTCATGGAATATAACGCAGTTCAGACATGAAGTGACTTCTCGATACTAACCAAGACTGTTCCAAGTATTGATCAAAGCTTAGTTTACCAATCCTAAAATACATTGAAGCGACCAAACAGAGTGACGTTACACTGTAAATTTCTTTCTCATACAAGGCGTTCAAAGCCAGTCGGTTGAAAATTACAAACCTTAATTGTGCATCGTCCTTGTTGACTTTCCTTACAAAATGAATGCTGAAAACTCTGAGCGAAGATATTTAGGGACACCACAATTAACCTTCATTAGTATTGAGCATTTAGTTTAATGACTGTACAGGAATTAGTGACTAATATACTTCGACAGTCAGTTATGATATAAGCATGGGGATCGAAACTAGCCCACAGCTAATTTCATTTTTGAATTACGTATATGGAGGTGGTCCCTTGAAGTTGAACAGAAATATGAGGAAAGATTTTATGCTACCGCAGTTTATTTGAAATTGTTACAGAAAGTACAAGAACATACTCTCGAAATGCCATACAAACGTTTCAGATATTAGTCTAACTAAAAATATGACTTCTGTTTCTGGTAATCATTTTAACGGGTAATTCTGAAGAGTTTTTAATGAAAGATCTGACGTTTATTTAATATCTGCAAGTACTAACTGTAATTATTCCTTGTTTTACTCAACAATTAATTGATTTGCTAATAACTAATCTGTTTATTCCCGTAGTTAATTTAGGAGCCTGAAAAGGATCTTAACTTTCCGTAACCATTGTAGGTCTTAGAGGGAGTTGCAGATAATCACCAACAGAATTATTAAGCGTCAAGTGGCACATCATAATGAGAACATCCACATACGGTTAAGTTTTTCCCAATTAATCCGACTTTTTTAGTAGACAATTTCATCAATACACACGATGCACTTTTATGAACAGTGTACCTTATTAAATATCAAATCGACTTAGTAAACCACAAAACTGAAATTTTAGGATTAAGGTTAAAATACATACATCGTTTATTGAATGGTCAATTGTGTCCATCTAATCTTTTTGTCAAGTGTGAAGAACTCTTGTTTTCAATGAACATTTCTGTAATTATTTTGTCAGGCAGATGTTCTGAAACTATAAATGGTGCCGCCAATAATTTGGGATGCGGTTAAAGTGCTTGACATTCGCTCTTCGTCCTCTCAATTTCGTAAACAACACCCCCGTCACGAGAAGGCACCATCATTACGTCGACAGTAATAGACTTCCTCAATAAACTGGGATCACTCAGCTCGTGGTCCTTAGCGCAACAGTTGTTCCCAAAATCTCTACAGGTGATTAGGCCCACGTTAACAGAACTCTCTCATAATCATGAACTTTATAGACAACCCTGACCTTCCTCTCAGTTTGCAGGACAAAAACGACAGGATGCTCTGGGGTGAACTGAACAAAAAGCTTGAACTTCCTAGAATAGAGCCTTTGACGGTCACACGGCTCACTCGGATAAAGGAATCTAAGTATCAGAATCACTCGAGACTACTTCGTGTAGCACTCAAGAATGCTACCGAATTAGAGGATGTCCTGCTAGCTAGTCATCTACTGGAATCCGATGGGAACGTCAGAATACTGCCCGACATACCGTATCTGAGCGCAATCTCATCCGGAACGTCCCTGAGGGTTCTCGAGAGTAGTTTTTCCGCGGAAGAAATAACATCGTGCAAGGTGTACCGGAAAACATGGACCCTACTCAAGCAAACTCTGACATTCGAGAATGGAAATTCATCAAACAGTCCTTGAGGCTTAAAATCGTACTGACTCAGCATGTGATGAGATCTGCTGACCGCGGTGGACATGTGGAAAAGCATCGTTGATCGCAAGGGGAAGGTAGACATCATTTACCTTGATTTCTCTAAAGCTTTTGATAGGGTTAACCACACATGTCTTATTAACAAGCTCAAACAATTGGGAATCAAACCACCTTTAATTGACTGGCTCAGTTCATATCTGACAAATCGACATTTTAAGGTCAGGGTAAACTTCAATTTCTCACACGCTATGGAATGTCCTAGTGGGGTCCCCCAGGGCTCAGTACTAGGACCTCTCCTCTTCCTGATTTATAAAAATGATCTTCCTCAACAGGTAACGTCAGACATATTGCTCTTTGCCGATGACGTGAAACTTTGGAGAGAGATACGCAACCAAGGGGACATACAGGCACTTCAGGTGGATCTGACGATAATGGACTTACCTTTAACACCTCAGAGTGTAAAGTAGTCCATCTGCGACACGTCGCAGATTACAGTTACAACCTAGGAAACTCCTCTCTAGTAGTATTCCGAGTTGAAAATGATTTAGGAGTTCTGGTGCCCTACGACTTAAAGTCTTACGCCAACTGTGACAGAAATGCCTTTCGAACAAACCTTGCAATGGTAACATTGAAGCGCATTTTTGGTCAGTTTGACGGAATAACTTTCCACATAATCTTTAATAGTTTCATTCGTCTCCATTTAGAGTACAGAAACATAGTTTTCCCTCCTACACTCCAAAAGGCTAAGGACACTCTGGAGCATACCAAACGGCGAGCCACGAAATCAGTTCGGGGACTCAAATTTAAACCTCTAATCACTCGACCTTTACCCATTAGAGTATAGGCGTCTTAGAGGTGACCTTCTAATGGCTTACAGTATCCTTAACACTCCTGGACATCTTCTTAAACACCTACGTAAGCCTTGTCCCAACACCAACCTAAGGGGTAACACCCAGAAACTGGAGATACAACATAGTAGAACGGACTGCATGCACAACTTCTACTCCTTAAGAGTTTTCAAATGCTGGAATTCGCTGCCAGCTGAACTAGTCCAAGCAACTTCCCAGGAGTCCTTTAAGAAGCGACTTGATCTATTCTCAAGGACTAAGGATAGTATCTTACTATGATTTTCCAACTTCTTTTTTCTCTTTTATTGTTAATATTCCTAGGTTCTTGCCTGGATGTATTGGTGATTTCTTTCTACTAGACACGGAAGCCTGTTAAGCGAAAGCTTCTTCTATTCCGTCCACAACCATTTGGACCGCACTTTTCAAAAAGCATAATTTGTTATCGTTCAAGGTAGATATTCCTAAATTGTTGCGTCTACTAAAAAAATAAAATGGGGAGTGACTTCTTCTAGAACATAATAATATACAACTTAGTGTGTAAGTGTACGAATGAGTCATGAAGTTCTACATACAGTTATCTAGATAACAGTATAAACCCAATCAACCAATTCTGGGGGAGTTCTCCAATATTTCTCCTAAAGCCTGGGGAATTCCTCAAAAATTTTGGTATTTCTTAAAAATTTCTCCAAACTTCTAATAAGGTCATTCGACTTTCGAGGTTTTCCCCGGACTTGCAAATTTTGGGTGATTGGGTACGACGTCATGAAGTCGTACCACACTTGCAAGTGTGGTACCAAGGGTGTATCTCATTGACTGTGTGTGTCTCTTTGAAAATCAAAGCGTAAAATTCACTATTTTATGCTTTTCTTGTAACACGACAAAATTTTAGTAAAATTTGTAAACAAATCAACCTCTTTTCTTGAAATTAGCTAATTTGAATCAACATCTTTCGGTTTCGTTAGTTTTTTTGACTGCATTGTGTCAGGTTTAAGGATTTTACTTCATTAGTTAAGTGAAACGGGACAATTATCACATGTAAGATTCATTCGGAAAGTAGAGGTCACTACATAGTGATTTCTTCAAAATGTTTTCATAATAGTCAGCGTACCTAATTGAGATTACAGAATGCCTATTATGATGTAATAATGAATATATATATTCGCTGGCACATTATCATTACACAAATAACTTGTAAATAACTTATTTTCTACATGAGTTCTGTTGCGTCAGTGTTTAAATACAGGAAGCAAGGTTGTAGTTTATTCCGAGATTTTCATTTTAAATAATAACATTAATTATGAGAATCGTTTCCTATTAGCCTTTCATAATATTTACCAAACTTTCATACTGAAGGGAGAAAAACTAGCTTTGAAGTCACTTTACCACACTTGTGTTCGTTTCTTTATTACCTGAACCACGTTTGTCTTTGTTTTAGTACGATTAAAAAGCTATATTATCTGAGAATAACTGATTGGTCTCAAAGTTTTTGTGTGTAGAGACAACAGCAAATCATTTCATCATAAGTTTGATAAATTCAGAACAACAGCTGAAGTAGAATAATGTGAATTCGTTGTATTTAGTGATATTTATCAACTGCTTACAGCCACATACGTTTTACGGCATAACACTGAGGTATGATATAGTGTGAAGCAATTGAACTCGATGTTGGAATAAACTAGATTAATACTTTAAAATACGGATTAAAGCAACTTGGTATCTTTACACTTTTTGCATTGCTTGAGACTAATTTTATTTCAAATTTCATTGATAGTAAAGTTTCTGAAAGTTTCTTTTTGATATTTCTGGCTCTCAATAATGCCGAACCAAACATCGGTTTCATGAGCAGAAATTTAGGTATCACAGCTGTAAAGCATTCATTCTTTTGTGTACTTGTCGGCTACAAGAGGAAATCAAACGCATAAAGTCTAGAAATCACCGTTGGATGAGTCGTATCTATCAAATTCTTACTACAGAATCAAATTTCGATATTTCACATGGTCTCTTCATAAAAAGGATTAAAATCAATAGTGAGGTGTATAATCACACAAAATCCAAGATTGTTTTGAGTAGTTAAAGCTCAAATCCTCTTAGCGCGTTAGCTATTTTGGTGTTCCACTAACTACTAGAGCTTGCCAGGAACTAGAAATCACTTTTGATGAATAGGTTTTCTATATTTTATTACTTCTGTCGCTATTTGGTTTATATTTTCCCATCTCTATGACAGTATTAACTTCCATTTTCAGAGAAAACTTTACTTTTGTGTACCTGCAAGGAAAACAATTTGTGTTCAAGTGAGATCATACCGTGCGTTACATATTTCTAGATTTTTAATGACAAATAAATTTGATTACAGTAGTCATATTTATAACGCAACTGATGTTAGAATGATTATTTTAAAGAACATTGTTCCTTATTATGGAAAGGTTTACCTTTGGCATTCTTCGACTATGGTTATATACGGGTGATACTGACACAGTTTTTGGGAGTACAAGTTATGTTATCACATAGGTGTTGCTAAGAACTCCTAAAATGAAATCCCACTTCAAAACATCTCAAACAAAGCATAACATTTATCGTAATGTCCGCCAATTCAGGTTCAAGTTTTAAAATAAAAACCGTTAAATATACTAAAAAGTACAAACACATAAAAATACCATTGAAATCAATAACTATAAATAATTAAAAATTATATATGTAATATCCCAATGAGTAGAAAAATTGCATTTTCTGACGTTTTGTGACTTAGTGTAAGTCACTTCTTTAAAGAATAAATAGCCAAATTAAAACTAATACAAGTTTAAATAGTACAAAGAAACAATTGTTCCTTTGCGATATTACAAATATATTATTTATTTATAACAATCTACCCAATGCTCAATTTATTCAAAATTATCAAATCAAATCTTGATAATGATACCTAATAACTATAAATGCTGTTTTTCAAGAAAGCAATCTACGTAATTCGATAAGTTTTGAATTAATAGTGGTGATCGTTTATTAATTTATATTATTTCACGCAACATTTAGCGTTGCAGATGATGAGTCCGCAAAACGACGAAACTTATAGCGGATTCTTGGCAAATATATCATTAGTAGTTGCGAAAGTGTCACTAGCAGTGTATCTTGTCAAACAGACGCCACCAAGTATTTCAAGCTATGATTTTGTCAGATTTCTTCAAAATCAGTATGCAAGAAGAGAGGAGGAAAAAGAAGCACTTATCAATTATTATTTCTTAAATGAAAAGAAGCTAAGTGGTCACAATTCAAATTGCGAAATCAGCTTTAAGATGGGAACTAAAACAGCAGGTGATATTTTATTTTTCTAACCATGCACTTTTACTTTGTTTGTTGTACAGACCTCAGCACCTATACAGCTTTTAATTCAAGTCAGCTAAAGATGACTAAATTCAATCTGCAGAATATAATGGTGCTTTCTACAAATCAAACAGTTAATCAGTTGAAATATTATTTACAAGAAATTTTATCCTCATCCTACAATATCCTTTTTCATGCTTTTAAAGCAAGTTGTGCGGAGGGATTGATTTCTTCAAGGAAACTGAATACCTTTGTTAGTATGAAACAAGATGCAGAATTCACATTTCGTTTATGGATTAACAAAACAATGGAGCTGTTAAACAAAAACCCAGAGAGTCTGATTCAATGTCTTGATCTTTTGAGAAGATTTGTTATTTCTAAGGACGTCTCTTCAGAAACAGAGAGTAGTCTTTGGGATTCAACAATACTTGAGTTAAATTTAATTCTTTCCAGTTCGTTTAAAGAGCACCTAAACACACTATGTCGTACTAGTATTGCCCAATTTACCACCGAATTCATAGATGATGTATTAAAACAACTCTGTGAAAATTTTCAGACAGTAGTTTCAAATCATGGAAAGATGCTGTTTCTCCAAGTTAGCAAGTGTGCCCATATAATATGGCTCTCCGTAAATCTTTTAAAATCTTTTGATGATGATGATCAAATTTTCGACAGAACACAAGCCTTTCGGTGGGTACAGATTTTAGACAGATGGCTCGAATCACAAAAATCATCCACCAATCAAGCAGAAAGATTTTCATTGGTTCAACTTACTGGATTAATGTTTACTATATTTGTTTTAAAAAATAAAATTATTAGGCTTACTGCAAAGTTTTAACAGACAATAATACTAGAATACATAATGTGCATTTGATTGGTTAACTTCGTTAAATGTTTGGTACTGAAATAAAATAAATTCACATTTTTGATAAAGATAATATTTAAACCGCTTATGACTAACTTGGTTTTTCAAGTAACATGCGTTGCTTATCAGTAAGTGTGAGGAATAAAATTTGTTGACTGATGAAATGATGCTGGGAAAAAGACCTTTTCCCATGTATTTCGTCTTTCTTTTCAATAAAAAGTTACGTCAACATTTTTTCAGAAATGTTTTCTACAGCACAGAGCAAAATTCTCATTTAATCTTCTGACTTTATAACTAACCATTTTAAGAATACTTATACAGACAGTATTTTGAAGTAGTTTATTTACACAAGTTAAATGATATTGATATACAGCTCAAGTGGATAACTTTCGTGAGTTTTCAAACATAAAATTGTCTAAGTACTGAAAGTTCCTCTGTAAAAACCCATTTTTAGTGGTTTCTATCTCTGAGCAAGGTGGTGTATTTGTGGGACTTTTGTCGTCCTAATAAAATCAAGGCTAGAAGAATAGGCTTCAAGTCATTTGTGGCGAAATTCGGGCAAGCAACTTTAATTTAAAGTTTGTGCTGGTGATATTCTTTAGAAGGACGATGAAAGATTTACGAATAAACCGCTAAGCTAAGAAAGCGAAACTCCATTAAAATAAAGCTTTCTCGCAAGGATCCCGTCAGTACTTAGACATCTTCATATTTAAATATTCACTACTGTCTACGCTCTCATTTATTTGAGTGACCAGCAATCTATGGTGAAGATGGTTTTCCACAAATGGCAGATGTTGGTATTGTCCGTGAATATCAAAATAATCAATATTTTTGATCTGAATGAAACGAAAATTGGTGGGATTCCAGTTTTCTTATCAATCATTACCATGTGGTCCTATATCGTAAAAGTTTTATCCGCTATTATGGTGAAGTATGTAGCCTTAGCTACAGTCTTACCAATATTTGTAAACCATTATATGAAGTTATCAAAAGGTAAAATAGGGAAACATTAATTTTAATTGCCAGTAGATCATAAAGAACATAGATCCTAGCGTATATGTACGTTGGCATAAGTTACCGTGCCAAACTTTTGTTGTGTAATACAAAGATGAGACAATATTCATCTAAAATTAAATAATAATCTAACTTTTCAAATATGTGGACACTAAGTGTCGAATGATAAAAATCGAATTTTAGATTCAACAATCCATCCTTAATGTGCATTTAAATTTACTCAAAGATCATTTGAGTTGTCGGTTGTAGTCATAACGTTACGGTGAATAAATTATTCGGTAAAAATCAAAAAATCATTACTCAGAGAACGCAAAACCAGGTACACTAACTAAAATCAATTATTTTCCTAATAATGACGTAAAATGTGATTTTATTCGTGAAGTCACTAATATTATATTAAAGTAATTATGAATTTAGATAGTGATTACGTAAGGGTTAAAAATCTCAATTATTTGAAGTTGAGGGAGAAAGCTTCTAAAGTGACCAGCAGCTGTCTTCAACTTTTGAGGCTGTAAATATCAGATTCAGATGGGTATTTTTTAACAATCTAAAAAAAAGACAAACATAAAAGACAGGTTTACAAATAAGATTTGTTAAATAATTTGATAAACTTAACAACTGAGTTTATATGATGAAAAGTATATCACAAAATATATCCATCTTTCAAAATTTGTAACAGTAGCATCTGAAATACCTTTACATATATTTAAACTAGATAACGGTAATGTCTGGTAAAAATTTTCATTTCAAGCTTTGTGAAACTTGGCAAGCTGAGATCGAGAAAAGGATGCAAATTTTTGTTTGGCCATGAACTTGATCACATAAAACTTTTTTATCTAATTGAGTAGTTCATTGATCTACTTATATTGTTATTCATTCACAAGTCATATAACGTGTCATGAAAGACGTGGATGAATCATAAAAACAAGCGAAGATCTTCGTTTATATTTAAAGGATTCAAAAAGATAACTTATTCCTAACTCAGAAACCATTAGTTCTGACGAACTCAGTTTTTAGTGATATCGTTTTACGGCAATACAACTAAAATAAAACAAAAGTTTACGGCTTTTATAATTGTTGCAGTAATAAATGTTCATGTGGATTATTCATAGACATAAAAGTAAAATGAACTTAATCTCATTGACATGGTCGACCATATTATAGAAACCTAAAGACTATTTGTTAGATTTAGGTGTCGAAAATAATAATCATAAGTCAGCGTTCGTTTTACATGCATTTTTGGCATTATGTTAAAAGAACAGTGGTAAAGAATAGGATTCAAATAACATCACAGTTTACCTGTGGTAATTGTAAAGCATATGATTTGAATTCGTAAGCCCATGTGATAAAAAACACCATGATGATAAATCCTGCAGCCCACTCAAAACTTGTACTGCATAGATAAAATGAAAATCCCTGAAAGTAAAACCATTTAGGCATTAAACGTTATTCTCATGTAATATTTGAGTTCTACATTTTCATATAATTATCTGGTTATTTGAACCTTGTCATATTCCAGATTAAATATTTGGATAAAAAAAACAACCACGAGATTCTAAGATATTTTGTTTGTATAAAGTAAATCATGTATGAATTATCAAACAAACAAACCGTAACTAAGTTCCTTAAAGTAAATAACAGAAATTAGTCACATTGCTTTGATAAGAAACATGTTTTGCAAACATCGAAATACCATATAAATATTTAAGTAAAACTTAGAAATTTAAGCATTAATAGAGTTAGGTAATTAAACATACAATCATAAACTAATATTGTATTGTATTCATCACAACCTAATATAGACAAGCTAATGGGTCTTAAGGCGTCTTTATTTATCTCATGACAGTGCCATGATTTCTTGCAGAAGCTTTGAAAATCCAATCAGAAATAGAATGTTTATGTTAATATTATAGATCCTGCTTCACTTGAATTAAGTTTAAAGTGTGATGAGAACTGAATCAAAATGACCGATAAATTTGAAACAATTTCAAATTCCTGCCATAAACACGTACTACTAGTAATAAACACGTTGCTGAATAGTGATACGGATGAACACAGCTTAAATATTTATTGAACAGTTGTCAAATGAATTATCCTTGCAGATGGTGACATATATTTAAAGAAAACTTTTCATTCTGAACTGGAGTTAATGAGAGAATCACTCACCACGAAGAGGTATTGAATAGTCATTGTTATATAGAATTTAATGTTAAAACCTACATCCATTAAGGTGTAGAAGGATATCACAAACAGATCATAAGTTTCACTGAGAAGAAGAAAGCCTACCGTTAGTGAAAACAAACACTTACGGTTCTCCCTAATTTGTGATCATTATACTTTGCAAATATTTCCAATAAATTTATACATATGAGTATGGAGTATTGTACTGCATCATAAAACTAAAGAAAGACACTTACACCTTGACCAGGATGCCGATAAGTCAAAGATTCTTCTTGTGTACCATTGAAATTTATCCTGGAAATTGTATGACATATTGAAACTAAAATCGAAAATTTCAAAGTAGTCAAGTAATTCATCAGCGCGACAAAGTAAATACAATAGTTTACTAGTGGGTGACGTTGAAGGTAAATCGTGATATTTAACTTATCGACTGAAATGAAAATAAGGACAATTAAATTACGACTCCACTGCTCGATATTACCGTACTTGCCGTGAGATTTGAAGCTTCTAGGTTAAAATCTTTGTACGGTAGTTGGTGAGGAATTTTAAGGAGTTTAAAAGTAGGATACAACAGACGTACAGCGTATTTCCGTCCAAGGCATCTCTCACTTCATAAAAAAGTTATTTTGTTTTCTGAAATTCAAAGTTATAACCAACTTAATACCATCAAAAGTTCACTAGTAATCTAATACTATGAATAAACTCAGTTTTCCTTTAACGAACTTTAACTACTTTGCGAAAGTCCGTATACCTATAATCCGAATTCATGCTATCCTGCTTTCGATAGTTTTGAACAAAGTATAAGGTTAGAATTACTGTTCAGCCATGGTGTTTTTGGAAGCTATGTTTGAGATTCTAGGATCAGTTGTCAACTATCAAATTACTTATAATCATATTATTCCTACAGTATCATAATCATATACATATTTTCTTTCACTTTTTTATAAAAATATAAGTATTTATTTAATAAAATAAGTCCTGAAGAGAAACATTATTTTATAGGACTCTAAATCACTGTAGAACTCGTATCATCACAATAGTAAACAATCATCGTCCTTCAACATTGCATCAAATATATCGATCGATTAGGCAGTGATTTATTCTCCGGTACAACAGTAGGGTCGCATTCAATGAAGCAGAGATTAATAAAACAACTGAATAATAAAATTGGTAACCACTAGATGTAAAAATGAAAGCGATAAATGTTGCTAAGAGATGTATAGTCAAAGGTCATTGATTGTAAATAACCACGTACGAATATGTTTGTAGTCACGGAAAAAGAGCATCTTATATCCAAATGAATATATTTTGGTAATATAACGAGCGACAGTTAAAACTACTTTTATGTCGAGAAGTGATAGTTTTACTTTCTATGTGACAAAAATTCACCAGTATTCTCTGTGCCTTTTGTGACTTACAAAAGCTTGATGTTATTCCTGCCATAATTCCTAAGAGAAGTCTAAAAGCCCATATACACCAATGTGTTCCAAGGTATCGCTTGCTAACTAAAGCACACAAAACTATATAAATCGTGGTGCCAAAAAAAGCCATCCCAGCACCAATATCATGTATTAATTCGACGTTAACTTGCTGAAAATATAGAAAAAAAAAAACAAAATCATATGAATAAATGTAAACATATAACACGAATGTAAGGTGAATATTTTTGACAGATGAAATTTGTTTGCTTCAAACGTCAACGCGTTATCCAGTAACCTGCTAAGTCCAAAACGCCACTCACTTGTACAAGGAGAATGAGTTTGAACTGAATTTTCAACGATGTTGATGATTCCGCGTGTTCTGGACTATACTTCTACTCAAAGACTCTTTATTCTACATACATCTATGTTATAATGTTATACGGACACAATCCACATAGGATGCATAAATCTCGACCAAGGCTATTATTACATATATTCTTATCGAGTAATTACTAAGTAACTAGATTATATGTATCTTGTTATCATAAACTTTCATTTGATCTATTGGTTACTGTTATACGATTTACCATTTTTAACTTATTCCCAATTTATTAGTTACGGTCTATTACACTCAAAGTCACTTTTGGACTGATTTGGTATAATTTTTAATTTTTATTTTATGATGTGATGTGGTTTGGTCTACTAGTATATAAACCACGTGTGCCTGAAATACTCGATTCACACAGTAGAGACTGAGACTACATTCTGGACTCAACAATCAGAGCTAGGCAAGAAGGATTAAGAGTTAACGCAAGGCTTCTAGTGCTGCTTCACGTGTTATTGTGTTGTGTGCTACCAGTGTCGACATAAGTAGTATATAACGCTAGTCAGGAATAGAATATTTAGTAGTAGAAAGTCGAGGAGGAAGGGATGGCAACAGAAAACAATTGGTTTGGAAATGCAGGAACAATAAAGTCTGAGACAATTAATGAACATTTTGCAAATAAGGTATTTACTATATGATTCTGCAATTTTGTGTTCAAATACATTCGGTCGTCTCCACTGGTGTTCTTGTTCACCACAATTAGTTTAACACAAGAACAAGGTCATATAAGTCGATATTCGGATCGGCGATTTTTTCACCTAATAACTAGAAGAGCATAAGTCATTACAAAAATATCACAGATCAGATAATGACCATCACAACTTTGATAATCATTAAATGAAATGAACTTAATAGATTATTAAAATAATTTTGACTGCGTAATTTATCTTATCATAAGCATATAAAAAAGTAAGAGAATTCTCGTTACAAACAAAAGGAGAAAGAGTTATTTATTTGACAAGGCTTTGTTCACTAAATCTCTAAAAAAACTGTAGGTCCTGGGTTTGGTCCCCAGCCGAGGGTTGGATGCTCCCTGCTGCTGATGGACGTTGTTTTCAGTAATTATCTACCAAAGGAAATTTGGAGATGTAAATTGTAAAAAATACTGATTAATATCTTCAATAGTGGTATGTGATTTACGTTTTGTTGTTAGATTTTACACGTTCAGTGAATTACGGTTTTTCTTTGGAAGTTGTTGATGTTTATTTTATTTTCCATGGTTGTACAGTTAAAAATTAGTCACATCAGATAATAATTACAGTTGTTTTCTTACAAATTATGCTATACAAACGGTAAAGTGTCATAAAAAGACTTTTAGGTTAATGAATTTGATTTTGCAGTTATCCGAAGGCTTAACAAAACTTAGTATAACGATAAAAACCGATGGATGTAGACATTTTTGTTGACAGAACAGCATAATCTGTTTCATGAGTACAAAAAGCCAAATAGAGAAATGTGTATATACTTCAAGATTGATTTGAAAGAAATTATACCGCTGATTATCTGAAAGGTAAATACTACTTTTCACTTAACACTACGGGTTAATAAACTAACGAGTTTCACAACGAGATTTGAATTCAGAAATTTTTCCTTTACTTTAACGTTTGTTCAAAAATGTTTGATAAACAAACTGTAGCCATTCATCGAAACTGTAATCCAATTATATGTATAGGTAGCTCATGACATTTATTACAAATACATGTATTTCAAATAGATTCATTTATGTAAACTTACTTGAAAATTTCCAACCAATGTTAAACCGATTGAAGCAACTAGAGACAATAAAAGCATAAATTTAAGAACACATTTTGGTTGATGTATGCCCATAAATCTCGTTCTTTCCAATGCAATTAAATACCAGAAAAAAGAGCATATCAAACCTATAGTAGTGAAAAAACCACACCGGATAAAAAGTTCATTAACTATATCAAGCTAAAAAATTTTTTAAGTGACTTCATAAAAATACTGAATATTTTGTGTCTTTAACGATTTGCAAATGAGATTTATGTGAATGTTTATTCTGTGCAGTCAACAATAAAGTAAGGTAGAACGACTTAATCGAAATAAGAGAAAATTGATTTTTATTGTAATGCAGCTGAGTTCTAACGTTTTGTTTTACGTGTTATGTCATTGTGACTTGTGAGTTGGCTTCATAATTTTACTTTACAAAACACGTCATTCATCATGTGATGAAAATTAATGTTTTAGCAAGTATTTATACATTAAGTGAGGATCGATATTGTCATTGGGTTTTTACCATAAGAAAAGGTTTGTAAATAAACAGAAGAATTACTAATTAGTTAAACCAAAAGGTAGAAAAAAAACTCATTCTAAAATATCTGTGGTGCAAACATTTACTATAGGAACATATACATGCAAGAATCATGAATAAAAATGCATACACTACATTACTACTTATGTACTGAGGTTTTCAGTTAAACAAAACTTTATCTAGTAATGTACAGTATTACGTTTCATAGCGTTCCATCAGTTCACATCAATCAAATCTACTAATTAGTTTATGATTCAAAGCAACAATAATAACATTAGCATCAAACGTTTATAAATTTCATTGTATTGAAATATAAACAACACAAATTTAATGTATAACTTATATTGATAATCATCACACAACAAATGAAATACATTTAACTTTCCATCAATGAATACTAGGACGGAACGGCCGTCCAGTGCTTCCAGGTATTCAATGATGGTCTAGCATTGATCAGTTCATGATCTCAATTAAAAACTCAACAATCTCCACAATCCTATACTGATATTAACATAAAGCCGGTTTTCACCCGTCTTGGATTAAAAAGTGAGATTTCATGAAGGATAAACGAAAGGCTTAAAGCAGTTCTGAAAAGAATGTTTTATGTAGCCTAACTACTTTAGCATTAAACACCAAACGTTTCTTAAACTAATCAAAAGTGGATTAGTACCCCTCTGACGTAATCTCTAAAAGTGTTTGCGAATCCACATGTACTTGTGGAAGCAAAATCATAGAAGGGCTGAAATAAGGAATTTACAAGGTTCCCCAAACGCATTCGCTGAAAGCTGTGCTTGAAAGAAATTAAGGTATTCATAAGTGCGATCAACAGATATTTAATCAATAGCGCGTACAACGTGGATATAACAAAAATCTTTAATTAATTAACAAACAGTTAACATCACTTCTATTCCGCTTTTCGGAGGTTACAAATCCAAGCGCTTTCAACTTGACCTCTGTACACAGAACGAATGTGCGGTAACCTTTCCGTCGTCATGAAGTTTGTCAATTACATTCTTTCTTTTGTGTGCTTAATAACTTGAAACAAAACAAATTACAATCACATACACCTATGACATCAACTTGGATTTTGTGTCAGAAAGGCGCTTTGACTACCACTCATTTATTAACAATCTTTTCTAGTCTCATACATTTAGTTCCCTTTATTATCTTGAAAAGAGCAAGAACAAAAAATTGAGCAGGCAAATGCAACCAAGACTTAAATGACCCAACAAAAAGACGAATCATGAGCGTACTCAAGGAGAAATTGTAACGTAAAATTATTAATAGCATTCGCCGCACATGTATAGCCTGCCGAAGATTTATAAACAGGGAATCCCGCTTAAGCCTATTTTATTAACGGTAAATTCACATCACCACAAAGTTGCGCACCGGCTAGAGGTAAATTTAGAACCAGATCGTCACCACTTAACCTGTTTTTAATTTGCTGACAGTCTCAACTACATAAATATTGCTGGTAAGTCGATGGTTTCTTTTGATATGGCATCTTTTCTAACCAAAATAACACTTCTTATAACCATAGACATAACTTTCGAGAAATCTAACACCCTATCCCTACCAGTACCAGAACTCAAACGACTGCTAATTATGTGCACGAAAAATGTTCATTTCCAATTTGATGACATAATACACCATTAAAATGGTGTAGAAAAGGGAAGTCTACTTGGTCCTGTCCTAGCATATTTACTCATAGCTAACTTTGAAAAGACCAAGCTTAAAGAAGCGATTACTAAAATGGTATGTTATGCAAGGTATTTTGACGATACTTTTATTGTATGCAGTTTAACAGCTTTTTTTCGATAAGTTACAAAAGGGCATTTGTCAAAACACTGTTTTACAGAAAGGAACGGACATGTACTATCAATACACTGAAAGCAAAATTATTGAACATTGAAGAAAGCCTAAGAAGTAATGGGCATCCAAAGGAATTTATTTAGCAATATAGAAGTAAAGACAAAACGCTCCAAGAAACAGCAGAAGAAAAGAAACCTATTTTCATTCAACTTGAGTCCAAAAGTGACCACGTTTTAACGTCAATAAGCAGTAGATTAAAAACGACATTGACTAGAACTTATCCTGTATAAAATAATATGTTGTTTACTCCAATCGAAGATCGATAGTTACCTCTTTCATGTTACTGCCAACTGCGTATGCAAATTTACATGCACTTGCTAAAACAGTCACACTGCAGAACGGAAAGAAGGACCCATGTTCGGTTCCAAGAACACATCCCAAAAAGTGTCAATTGAACTTAAGGCTTTTAGCATTGCTATCGCCAAGCATTTCTGTGACACAGAGTATCAAGTTGATAGACTGAAATCTTTCAGCATTATCAGTCGACAGTCAAATTCCATTTTTATCAAATTCCTCGAAGCTATAGCCATCAAACGACTCAGGCCAGATCTATATATACAAAAGAAAGTAGTTGCAAAGCTTTCCTTACCATGACGATTTTATTGTCAGTTCATTGCATCATTCTTGAACTTCTTTTATCTGTCTTATTTTAGTTGCATCACTACCATTAAATTCATAATTGTATTTTTAGCTAACTGATCCCAACATATGATATTCTAAAATCCTTTTAATTTATCTTCAACTACTTCAATATATAATCAAGTAATTACTTTATCTCTATAATTTCTTATTAATATTTCTGATAATCCAGAATCCCATCTCACGTATCATATTTACTTGCAACACTATATGTCTTCACTCTTATTACTCCACCATGATGATACATATCTATTTTTATTATTATAAGCATGCAAACCTAACAATGATTTTGATTTTTTTAATATCACAAGTTATAAGTGGGTGATGGAAGCCATACGAGATAAAATGAATTCACATTATTTTGTTCAATTATTTGTTTCCGGTCATTATCTATTATTATGATTGATAACTTCAACCTGATCTTTACATGACTTCATCTTCAACACATAAATACTATAAGTATAGAGTTGTGGAGATTGTTGAGTTTGGGGTGATATCACAAATGGATCAGTGTTAGATCGTTATTGAAGACCTGGAAGCACTGGACGGCCGTTTCGTCCTAGTATGGGACTCCTCAGCAGTGCGCATTAATACCGTTGGATGTCTACTCAATGGTCTAGAGGTTAAGCGTTCGCGTGCGAGATCGAAGGTCCTGAATCTGAGTACAGAGTGCAGGATCGCAAATGAGCACTTTTGAGGAGTTCTATAATAGGACGAAACGGCCGTCTAATGCTGCCAGGTTTCCAATGGTGGTCTGACATCGATCCATTCATGATATCAAACTAAATATAGATACCAATCAGAATTAACTCTTCGATCTAATATGCTGCTTCCTTTTCTTATTCCGTATGTCATGTTGAACTCAACTTTATTGATTACAGTGTACAAAGCTTTTTACAACAATATTACTAATGTAAATTAGAACGTCTGTAGCTGGTGAGAAGACTTGAAATATAGTGGATCTATGTTATTTTGCAAATCTTGTTCTTTTCGCTTTCTACAAATTTCTGTGTGTGGAGAGACTATAATTTGTGGGCGAACCAATCAAGTTTATGATAACAGATATAAGGTTTTGGCACGAAATTCATTCATCCATTTGCTTAAAGGGAGTTTTGGGATTTTAGCTGATGTCAGTCCGTGAAAACTTTCACTCTAATTGCTAACCCTAACCATCAATTGTAAATCATTGTCATCATTCTTCACACAGGTTTATAACTCTCATTTAGCCCTAGCAAGTGGGCGGACAGTCTCAAGGCCACTTAAACGTCGCTCAAAGGTCGGCCACAAATTATAGTCTCACCTTATGTAAATTCCACACAATTTAGAATGTGTATCAATTTTAAAGTCTGTAATTTAATCCATTATTTTAAAAACCCAGAATTTGATAAATTATCGCATTCTAGAAAACTAAAAGAAAGTCATGTTTCGTTCAACAACCGTGGATAACTTTATTCATCAAGTGAGGGTATTCTAATATAGTTGTCATTTGTAACAACAATAATGCGTAGAAGCAACAGTTGGCTTTCTTATTTTGAGCAAGTAAATAATTTGAGATTTGTGTTGAACATGCTTCTTTCTAGCTGAAAAGTCGCACGATCATATTACTTCAGTTTCATTAAAGAACATTCATCTAGCTGAGACATTATTAATCAGATTGGTCGACAATATATTTAAAGAAACTAGCCATAAAATCTATTCAAACAGACGAAAGTTATTAATTTTATAATGTGAACTCTCTCATTGTTTAATATGTATTTAAACTACTTTGAGCGAATAATTAACCAATGAGTATGTAAGAAACCATTACCCTGTAATACAATAATTTTTAAAAATGCCTTTAGTTAGTTTTCGTGGATTGATGGTAATAAGGACTAAAATTTACCAAACCTTACTTGGATACAAGCTGACTTCAACCCATATAACATTCAGCACCAATCAATAATTAATGGTGTTGAGATTTCACTTGAAACAAATATGGAAATATAAAATACTAAAAATAATAAATAAACTGGATAGACTTACGAAATCGACAAATCTAAGCCTAATAATCTTAAAGTTTACTCTTAACCACGTTATGACTTAGATTAAATAATGATTCCATCTTTTTAGGTGATTATAGATGGCCATTAACAGTGTAGATAAATAGGATTCATAGTCAAATGCACTAAAATTGTACGCAAACACTAAGCTGTATTTAACAGCTTTTTTAATTCTTGGGTACATTCTTCCAATGTGGTATTCAAATACCAAGTAGCTAGTCTAGAAAGAATTTATCTATGCATGTTAATAGATTAGGTCAAGACTTCAAAGTTAATTTTTACGCTTTTATGAAGAACAGTATAAATGGAGAAAGATGACTTGTCTTCCACCTTATTTACCGTACAATGAGCAGAGTGAAAGTATACAATATTGACAGTCAGAAAAGATTTCAAATAAAATTCTCCTGAGAATTTCCGTCGCATAGTAGAAAAAGTACAGAGTAATTAACCATTAGTTTCTATTTTATTTCCAAAAAAATCATTATTTTTAATACTATTTTTCTTTTTAACTTGTTTAAATCCCTTTGAACTATGATTAAAATTGTGATAATTTCTTTTACTGAATATGCTTTTCTCAATGGAATTATGAAACTCAGACTTACTGATAAAAGCAGCTAAGTTTAATCCCTCACCAAATATACAACTTTCTGGTGGATAGGCACCTGTAGAGCTGAAAAAGCGTATAAAATATATTTAAAATGAGATTTTCGGTAACGTAGACAAGGAGAACCATAGATTTCTATCAGACAATCGATTGAGGCATAAGCAAGTAGTAATGCATGGGTTCGTTTGCATATAAGCTAAGCCAATATTTTATTCTTATTTAAAATAAAAAATAAAGCCGTTTAGCTGAAAAAGTATATGAAATAAACTAGCATCACATATATAAGATAAACTTTCTGATGAAATACGGACGTCAAACAGATCTGATGTTCATATCAAGGGGTAGACGTAGAGTCCATTAAGACAAATATCAGTGTGTTATCCATTAGGTTAAAAAATAATGGTAACCACAGTATTTTCCGATAGATCGATATTTTTTACAATTAGTAATAAATGCATACGATTATTTGTCCCTTTATTAAGAAAGAAATGATACATTCTCTTAGAAGACACCGGTCGAAGATAGGGCTTACATCAAGCTTCATCAGTAAAAAGATAAAGTCCAAACCTTCAAGATAATCGGCTATCTTTGATTCAAAAAAGATGGCCTACTTAAATGCCCACGTCAAAGACGAAACAGATGCTAATATTTTAGAGAATGGGATATTGAATGTCCTTGAAGGAAAATATTTTACAGAGATTATGACAACCGTGTCCTACGGTTGACTTATATTCGCGAATATCTCTCTCATTTCACCGCTTTTGAGTTTATTTGCTAAGTTACTTGTTCTTATGAATCAATGTATCTTGATATTTTGGTGATTAGTTTTCCCAAAAGCCTTCAAGAATATTATCTTTGGTGGGTAATTAGAGAGGATAGAAATTGAATTAAAAGTCTCATAGTAGAACATGAAGTCGATATAAAAAGAACTCATTTTAGTAGCATTTAACAAAGTAGTAATGGCCTGTAAAACTCAATAGTTTTCGACTTATTGTGGCCCAGAAGCTCTCGATAAACAAATAAAAATCCCGAATTAAGAATAAGAAGGAAATTCATTTAACTTCTTTTGAGATTGAAGCAACCAATAGTTTATGAATTCTTCTCTACACATCTTCATCTCTCTTTATCACACAGTTGAACTCTTTTTTTATTTATGATTCTTTTTAATGACTACAATTCACGTCCCAGGCTTATCTTACTGTGAAACGCAACTCGTTTTGTAATTATCTTTATTTGTCTTATTTCTATTACATACTCGAGCTTCTTTCAACCTATGGTATAATTAACACATTATTGTAAGTCTATTGCCTGTTTTGTTGTGCTCGATCTATCGTCTTTTCTCATACACTATGGTTGTAAAACATTATATGCAAATGGTTGTACAACTCTGAAAATCAAGTTTTCGCAGAAAACTTCTCTGCTGAGAAACATTCCTTTTTCCGTTCCATGGTGAGCTTTTTGTTTTCACACAAACACGTTTGCATTTCCTGATAAGAAAGGTGACTTTCATTCAAAAAGTTTAATTTCGCATTTTATGTGACTCATTAGTTTAAGACTGTCTAACCAACCTGTATCATGAGTGTATTCAGGTTATTTTGAATGATTTCTTAAGTCGTAACTTAGGACTTCCAATCACTTACTGTCAATTTCTTAAATATTTCCTCAGGATGTCCTCAATGCTTCCACGCAACTCACTGTAAAAGTGTATGATGCTCCAGACATCAGTGTCCAATAAGTTACTGGAGATCAGTAAATTAATTTTGATCATGAAAGAATTGGAAGCGGTCTACCTTTAAACTTAATAAACATTCCACAAAGGAGTAGCAGGTATTAAAGATTTCATTAAAGTTCACAAACCTATCAAAAACATTATTATTGTTGTTAGCTCGTCAAACATTACAAATGATTTGTTTCAACCATCTTTTACTTGCCTACGACCGAATTTTATATAAAAATACAAGTTTCTGTCCCTGAATATCTGCAATTTGTTTACATCTTGTATTTTTCGAGTCATAAACCTCTCATAGTAATGTACATTGTTAGTGGGCTAACTAAAGAGTTCAGACGGTCATTAATTTAACACAATCTAGATTAAATATAATGTGTTAATACATTAATTCAGCCAATATGTATTTACTTGCCTGATAAATGGCAATTCTGCATTTACATGTCCTCTATGGATGGAAATGAGATATCTATATTGAAGTAAACAAAAAGATTTTATTATATAATAAAATTATCAGTTTTAGTTCTGCAAGCAAATAACTTATAAAATGCTAATTTTTCACGAAAAATCGATTTAGTCAACAGATTACATTTTCAAACTATGCTACCAAGCAACAAGCAGTGAACTTACGGTACTGTATTTAACACTCATATCATATTGCTCTATCAACAATCACCCAGGAACCCGTTTAACAAATAGGGATATAAAAATACATCCATCTGAAATGACTCAAAAACTGTGTAGACTTGAATCAATAACTCATATTTTTATTTTCTTAAAGTAAGAAGCAAACGATGGTATATATTTAACCGTATGATGGACCTACAAGTGAATTTCTGAACTATTTCATGAAGTAATACAAAAAAATCACATTTTAGTAGATCTTTATCTACCTATAATATTTATTTATATAATTTATGACCGCTCTTAGAATGCTGAAGGTGTATTTTTTAGCTCCATGAAACATTCTTCTTGCTACCATTTTCAAGTAAACTATTTGCGATATGTTTGTAATATTGTAAATACCTGATAATCTCCATATTTTTTGGATGTTATCTCAATAACGTTACCTAATATTACTATAACAAGATTGGGGTTATGTTTATCAAAGAAGTTGAGGTTGGAAGGTTTTTGAAGTTTACATTTATTTATTGTTACAAACCTTTAATTAGAAAAAAAAACTGGAATTTAATCCTAAAAGTCGATTGAAAACTAATCCTGGAAAGGAACCTGATAGTCTTTATTTGAACATGACATGCACTTTAGAACTAGGAAATACTACGAGCAACAAGATTGATTATGTTGCTGACAACGTAGAGACTCAGTAACAATTCGCAAAATACACTACGTTGACAAATATTTCGAAGCAGTGAAGAGCACTCAAAACTCTGAGTCTACTTAAGTCCGCAGCCGAAAAATGTATTTTGGACTTCATTACTTTTAGATTTGTTTCGGAGATACACTTTTATTCTGAGTCTACAATTTGAATGAAACTGCACTTCATCATGTATGCATTAAAAGTCAACAAACTGTTACAGTCTCAGTCAATTGTCCAAATACTTCTTCCTATTTTCGTTTAGTTTGTAAGACATAATACGTCCGTTAGTTGTAAGTTACTTAGGAATTCAGAAATATATCTTCTTTCTGGGTGAATTTTCTGTGTATGGGAATAAAAATGTCGATTATTTTCAAATATTATGGAACTTTAGACAGAAATTTATTTCTTCTATCAACTAACAGAAGAATGTTCACAAAGTTGTTTCAAATAAAACACAACAGTAATCATGTTATGTAAAAGACTTAAATATGTATTTGTTTTACATATGAAATGATAAACACGGAGATCAACTTACGTTGTTAGAACTGTGAAACTCATGATCAAAGCCAGTAAAAGAGCAACCCACTGCAGACCAATATGAGAACATGCAACAAACATATCGCTGGTTTCTGTTTATTAGCTGTTTATAACCTGGAATATATTGGAATGCTATATTTTATAATGTCACTTCTGCACAAAACAGTATCTATAGTCTGTCAATTTTTATCATTTTCTATCGCAATTTGTTTTAGAGAAAAACTTCGTTAGTTTAGCTTAATAGGTCTATGTTTTGTTTATTTAGAAACCATTTCGTAATGAATGATCCTAAACAACTCTCTGTGACATGAAAAATACTATGTCCCAGTATAAACAATATACATGCAACAGAAACGTCAAATGACATATGCAATGCTTAAGTATAAAAGTTCGAGCAAACACTCTCATATCTACAGTCGTTCTACGATATTTGAAAAATGACTGTGATCTGTGTATTTAGTGATGACTGTTTTGTACATCATTATGAACTTTATCCATAATTTCAATACAATATCGGCACCTTCTGTTGATATATTCAAAACAAGATTGGACCTCCACTGTGTTACAAACTGCAAGGATTAATATAGGTCGATAGACCTCCTATCCCTATTACTGAAGACGGAAGACAATAAATATACGTGAATTTACGGGGTTTTACTATCTCCAGGTCAGGCCTCTTTGCAAACACAAAAGTATATTATATATGAATCTGGTGAGTTCTATTCCACAACATACGTTAAATGCTATTTTTCTAATTCCTCTAACGTATATGTGTATCGGGTTGATATATCGACCCGATATATATTCACGGCTAACATAAAAAATATGTGAATAAATAAACAATTTGCAGAACAGAGGCTGATAATAAATAACAATAACCGATTACGTCATAACATTTAGTAGAGACAGAAATTATCTCCATAATTATATTTTGCATTTGAATCCACAAAAAATGAATGGCGATTTGAAAAAAACACGAGTTTTCATTAGCAATGTATTGAAAAAAACTAAACCAGAATTTACTGAAGTACTCAACAAGATCTCGACATTTGATAAGGAAGGTATTTATGCTCAAGCTAAAGACAAAAAATATAAGCAATAAAACCAACTGGATTTACATCCAGTTGTTTTCATGATGTCAGAGACAAACTGATAAAGCGTTATTGAAGGAAACAAGAGCAGGTATGTACTAATTTAAAGTGATAACTTCCATACTGCTCTGTAGTTATAGTCAACAGTCTTAGCGAACATAACCGTAAGTCTAGCTTAAACTATTTGGCTGTGCCAAAGCATGTTATTCAGATATCCATGTGATTTCTTTTGTTCTTTACACTTCGGAATTCACAGCAAGACTATTTTCATTCTCAATAGCCGAACAAACAAGGCTAAAGGAAGTAGTCCGTGAAATGTTTTATACGTTCTAAATAATTTTCAATAAACATTATTTTGTAAACGAGCTTACTTTATTACTTACATGGGGAACTATTGAAGTGTTGAGAAAGTGTGTTTGGTTGTCAGTGAACTTGCGATTAAATGCATATGCGTTAGAAATAAATCACTTGTTTCTTCTTTTGCAGATATTTTCGAATAACAATGAATTGGCAATTAAAATGGAAATGCAAAACGATTGATGCTCAAGCTTTTGCTGTAATATTACAGCAAAAGCTTGAGCATCAACATATGATGTACGTATACGCTTTTCGTGTAAATAAAATCATTTAAATATATACCGTTTTTTTCGTGGATTGCAGTTTTAGTGTGGTTTGTTGTAGAAATAAACGCGAACATAGAAGACCTTTGAGGTAATGCCAGTGACGTTTTATAAGTTGGATCAAAAACAGGCGATTCTGTGCGTATTTAGGCTAAAATTCGACAATTTAGAGACAAAAAAGAGGAAATCCGCACTATTTCACCCGGACGGGCGAAAAAGGCGACATTTCGGCGCGTTAACCTTTTTATTTTCCCTTTATTTACCAAAGCATTTTCCCCTTTATTAGTTTATATCTGGACTTGAAAATGAAAAGTCGGTTGATATAGAAACATGTCACGATTTGCGTACAGCCTAAATGCTTTTTCATATGTTAAAGAAGTTTACATCCCCTAGATATGATAACAACAATGGAAAATTTCTAGCCAACGATTCTCTGTTTGATGAAATTACACTAAATATTAAAAATTATCAACAAAGATTTATAAAAATGTGGGTGTTAAATAAAGGCAAATGAATAGTGTACGCTAAAAGTATTGTATAGTGTGTGTTCAACTAAAGATTTTCAAATGCAAGTTACTGCTTACTTTTCGCGCATAATGACCTTAAAAAAAATCAGAGAAGCGAACTAGAAGTTCAGTCTTCAGTCTTCAGTAATAAGGATAGTAGGTTAGTGAACCTGTGTTAATCCTAACAGGTTGACTTCCAGTGAAGGTCCAGTTTCTCTTTGAAAATATTCACTGATGGGGCTGATACCACTTGATCGGGCAAAGCGTTCCAATCATTGACTACTCGATGAGAAAAACGGAACCCCACCTTGAGTTTATTAGATCGTGGTTTGTGAACCTTCTTGCTATGACCTCGGAGATTATTAGTGCTGGCGGGAGCAAAAAGATAAGACATATTAACACCCAAATCATAATTAAAGATACGAAATGCCAGTATAAGGTCACCTCGAGTCCTACGATACGACAAGGGGAAAAGGTCTAAGCGTTTTAAACGCTCATCGTAAGGGAGTTTAGAAAGACCCTTCACTAATTTCGTTCCCACACGCTGGACACGCTCAAGTGAGGTAGTATCCTTTATCAGACATGGGCTAGCTGCTTGAATACAGTACTCTAAATGTGGTCTTACATAGGTGGGATATAAAATTCGAAACATTTCCTCGTCAAAGGATTTGAACGCTCGGCGAAGTGACCATAACGCACGAAAACCTTTGACAGCGGCTGCGTTGCAGTGCGCAGTTGTTTTTAAATCATGACTTATTATTACTCCTAAGTCTTTATGTTCTTGAACGCATGGAAGAGGTTTGCCATCAATAGTATAATGGTAATTATTGCCGTGACCGATGTGCATTAGCACACTCTTCCTAGAATTGATTTCTAAACCCCAATCTCGAGCCCATCTAACTAAATCGTCTAAGTCAGATTGAAGATCCAGATGATCAGCCTCACCTCTTATTGCTCTCCATATTTTGACATCATCCGCAAATAATAATGTCGACGACCTAAGCAACAGCGGTAATTCATTTACGTAGAGAAGGAATAGCAGAGGGCCTAATATGGTGCCTTGGGGTACACCACTTTTGACCGGCTTCCAATCGGATAGCGTCCCATTGACCCTCACTCTCTGTCTGCGGTCACGTAAGAAGTTTCCTATCCACTCCTGTACAGTACCTATTATTCCGAAGCTTGTGAGCTTCTGCATAAGACCTGAGTGTGAAACCTTGTCAAATGCTTTGCTAAAATCTATGAATATAACATCGACAGACAGACCTTTATCTAAAGCTGCTGTCCAATCCTCTCTCGCAATAAGTAAATTAGTCAAGCATGAACGCTTATCACGAAATCCATGTTGCTCAGGAGCTAACAGATTGTATGAATCTATGTGGCTTAGCAACCTAACCCGAATTATCTTTTCAAGTAACTTAACGACAATGCTAGTCAGACTGACAGGTCGGTAGTTAGATACGATGTGTCTCTGACCATCCTTAAATATAGGACTGACAATAGCATCTTTCCAATCCCTAGGTAGTTGAGCGAGTGAAAGGGACATGTTAAAGAGTGTCGCGAGCGGTTTTGAAATAATGTCTGCAAGAGATGACAGCAATCGTGAATGTAACCCGTCAGAACCCGGTATCTTACAAGGTTTGAGGTCAATTATCAACGAAAGGACAGTTTCTTCAGTCACCTGTATGGATTCCATGGCTGGTATCGCGGCGTAATTGGGACAAGTATTTGTTACAATAAACGTAGAGTAGACTTCGCTAAAGTAGTTTGAAAATGTCTCAGCTTTTGCTCGATCTGAATCAGCTAGTAAACCTGAATTATCGTGTAACAATAATGGGGGAATACTATCACTACGTTTTATTTGCCGTTTAACATACGAAAACAATCGTTTTGGACAAGTACGGCTATCGTATACCAACTGTCGTTCGTAAGTAATACGGGATTTAGCTATAGTTTTCTTACAAATATTCCGGAGTTTTTGGTACTCACGCTTAAAAGATGCATGATCTGTCAACAAGAATAAGTCCCAGAAGTGTTTCCTACGCTTTAACAGCTTACGGGTTTCCTTATTAATCCATGGAGGGCAGTGCGATAGCTTACGTACTGACCATGGGATAAACGGCGACGTTACGGACTCGAATGTAGCCTTAAACTTAATCCATTCGTCTTCGATCGATCCATCTGCATCAACCGACCAATCAGTAGAGATCGCACAGTCTCTGATTGCCGGAATATTAGCCCGCCAGATATTGGGACGGGGTGGAGCAGATACAAATCGTATACCATGTGTCCTAAACTTAAAGTGAAGTACAACGTGATCACTGTTCACTAGTGGAGGAAGGTGCTGAATATCAAAGACGTCCTCACAGTGGTGGGTGAGGGCGAGGTCCAGCAGTGACGGATCACGTTTCAGATCAATATGTGTCGGTTCAGTAATACATTGGACAAGTGCACACTGAATAACTGTTGATAAAAGTTCGCTATCAAAACCTCCACCTGGAGCTGTAAGCTCTATCCAGTTGATATGCGGTGCGTTGAAGTCCCCAATGATGAGGCAACATTCTGCCATACTCCAAGAACAGATGTGTCTTAAGATAAAGTCGTCAGCAAGACAACACGGACTACGGTATATTCCGCCTATAGTCACTAACCCATTTCTAGATTTAATCTTACAACATGCTACCTCACATGTACCACTAACATGAGCCTCCGATATGATTGATTGTATATGAAAGTGGTCCTTAATGTATAACATTATGCCTCTCCCCTTGCGGCTTAAAACTCTATCACTTCTAATACAGATATAGCCTGCAATGATGGGAGAACATCCTATATCTACGGTGAACCAAGTTTCTGTAATGACAATTATATCGGGAATTAATTCATCCACCATCAGACTTAGCTCGGACGTTTTATTCCTAAGACTACGGGCGTTCGTGTAGCACACACTTAAGGTGTTATGGTAATCGTTCGTTCTACCCATACAGGCCTCGGAAGCATTGGCTTCCAAGACCTGACTACCCGAAAACCCTTAATGGTAAGGTTAGTTTCGCCATTTAACTTGCGAGTTCTTAACTCCGTAAGAGCATTCTTCCACTTGATTCGATCCTCAAGCGGCCAATCTGGTCGGATACGAATATTTGAATCACGAATTTTTTGTGCGTTTTTCAATAATATATCTCGTTCTTCAAAACTCCCTAGAACCAGCTTCATCTGTTTGAATTCAGAAATGACAGAAGGCTGATTAGTCACTGTACATCTTAGCGGTGTTGGCCTCTCGTTCGATCTAGCCTTTTTTAAAATGCATTGATAGATGGAGTTCTTTTTTATGATTACTAGATGGGATAGTGAATTTTCATCTGACAAGTAATTTGTTCTAGACTTGTGAACTCATTTAGAGTTTACTCGTAAGTTCCCTGTCTAAGAATATAAGAAAAGCAAGGTTATATCGGATACATATTCACCACTAAGTAATTTAAAAATCGTGATGAAGTTACTCTTGGTTCTCCCATATGACAAGGGTTTTGAGAGATATAGTCACTTAACAAAGCATCCAAATGCTTCGTATGTAAAATTATGTAAAACCACACCAAGAGTACCTTGTCTGAGCAGTCAGTCTATGTCTGAATTAGGATGCTATCATACTTGAGAATGTTCAGCTTGCAGGAACAAATTTAATAAAGTGATTTTCTCAACCCACGTACGGTTAACACTCAAAGCGCTAGCACCTTTTCTCTTCAGCGTATCTTAGAACGCGTGTTTACCTTATTTGGGCATTAATTATCTTTAATAACGATTCGGGTATCATTACATCTTATATGTCGCTCCCCCCAAACTAATCATCTGCGAGGCCATAGCAGAAAGGTGAAGAAACCAAGATCTTATGAATTCAAGGCACAGTTCCACCTTTTTCATTAATTAATAATGACTGGAACATCTTACCTGAACAATTGGTATCAATCTCATCAGAGGACATTTTCAAGGAAAATCCGGACCTCCACTGGAAAAAGTTACAAGGATTAATGCAGGTCCGTCAACCTACTATCCTTATAATTGCAGTCTGAAACGAAATCGGTTTGGTTTAGCTAGTCCATTGCGATGTTAGAGCTATGAGATTCCGGATATCATATTGTTCATAATTCTCTAAACCTTTTTTCTAGAGACTATTATTATTTAGGCGGTGGATACCCAATCTCTCAACCTTAGGGAAATTTGGCGGAATTTCAGATAAAAATTGGGGAATTTCGGGGAAACCTACAAAGTCAAGGGACCTTCACCAAGGCTAAAATGGAATTTTGGGGAATTGTTGGGGAATTTCCCCAGGTAGCGGTAAATAAATCCGCAAAATGAATAGCTCTGTAAGTTTTCGACATTGGAAGCTGACACACTAGTTTTATTGAACTGACCTAAGTGAAGGCGCTCGGTCATGCATCCACACCAGGTCACAAGAGGAAACGACGTGCTTAAAATACTCTGTAATCGCTAGCCAGATTAGATCAGTCGCTTCACGATATATTGATAGCCTATCAAACATATCTTCGAACCTACTCGCTTATGTCTTTTGATTTCACTCAGTGGGTACGATTCTTATTAGAATGTGTTACTGGTTAAAGCGTTGTCAGACTCAAATACCTGTGAAATCTTAAACCAGATCCCAGGAAATTCACCTTTAACGTTGTTGAAGGTCATTTAACTTTGAAGATTTCCCAAAATCCCACAAAATGAGCCAAATTTTCTCCGAAATTGGGAGCTCATGTAGCTAAATGCAATACGCGAATTAAAAAGCATTAGATGCTTTAAAAAATCTAGGATGTTTAAGGTTGGATAAAAGCCTAACGTAGAACTTTGCGAATTCCCTGCTACAGTAGGTACCTTATGATCTAAAGAGATTATTACATTTCGCAGTTTATGAAGTGCTTATGATATGCGAATAAACTTTTCGAAACACGCACTGCTTGCAGAATGAATAGAATGTTTGTCCAAATGTTAACTAACGTCTTCAAAATAATTTTGAAAAAGATTTACTACCGCTTTTATAAAGCTGGCAAGTCGAAGCGTAGG